ATCACGTTCAACGCCGTCCACTGTTCAACGCCGTCCACTGTTCAACGCCGTACTTCATCACGTTCAACGCCGTCCACTGTTCAACGCCGTCCACTGTTCAACGCCGTACTTCATCACGTTCAACGCCGTCCACTGTTCAACGCCGTCCACTGTTCAACGTACCATCACGTTCAACGCCGTCCAAGGGAACAATTCATGTTTATCATGCGTAAGTTTGGGGACAACAGGAGTCCTCCCTACCTGGGTGCAAAACAGCCACTTACTTGATAAATAAAATAACAAAGGTTGTAAGTCCTCATTGACACAATTTACAATTTAGATCATCATTTTGTGAGGCACTGTGGTGAAATCAGGCGCTCGTCAAAAGAGTGAAATCAAAGAAAGTGGTATTTTTTTTATTGCTGGGTAATATTTTTCTAATTTTCTTCTTTTTTTTCTTTTTTTTTGGCTCAACACCTTTTATTATTTATAATTATACATTTCTGAGAGGATTTTACAGAAAAATGTTGATTTAAGGCACAAGAATATAAATTTGAAGTTTCTACGGCTGTCCCCGTGGTTTTAAGCACCCCGCATAATTTAGCAAAATTTAATCATTTTTTGCATAATTTCCAATTATTTTCCTTTATCATTCTTTGTTAAAATTAACAGAATCGCACAATTTCACATTTTTTGGGCTCAGTTTGCATAATTTCAGAATTGTTCTTGCATAAAATGACGGGGACAGCTAAGGACTCTCAAGCTCTGGAAGTTACCAAACTTTGGCGGCCATTTTCTCACAAATGTTACCTCTGAAACCAGGCGACCCTCACCTCCTTCAATAGCAAATGTCTCAAATTCTTTTCATGATATCCAAGTTGGGTTTTTTCACCTGCCGAAAGCAAGACAAATAAACAAGCTTTCCATCAAATGATACCAATAACTCCACATATCCAAAACTTGACGAGCGCCTGATTCCAGCGCGTTGTGAAGCACAAACTATGTTGTACGTCCCCACTGACACAATTTAGATCATCATCATTGACTACCAGGACACTTGCTTCCTACCCCGTGCCTGTTAGTCCTAGTGTCCCCAGGGTTTTATGCACCCCGCATAATTTAGCAAAATTTGATCATTTTTTTCCATAATTTCTGATTATTTTCCTTTTTCATTCTTGGTTAAAATTAACAGAATCGCATAATTTCACATTTTTGGGCTCAGTTTGCATAATTTCTAAAACTGTTTTGAACTAAACCGCGGCACACAAGCAGGGCCGCCTCGGGCGGAGTAGGACAAAGAACGTCCCAGGAGAATGACGGTGAAACTTGATGAAATAATCCCCCCCCACCCTTCCCCCATCCCTTCCTTTCCCTCCCTGCATCTACAGGGGTATCGAACTCATATATATCGCCCCCACAGACACCTGGGCAAAGTAGCCAGAAGTAACCTACTTAAAAGAATAATTAAATTGTTAGATTTGTATAAAACACATATTCTACCCCAATTCACAACATTTTATCTTCCAGCCAGTCTTTCCTTTTTGGTTTCCTCCAATAGTAAAAACATTCCTTTCTGTTTTCCCCCCATAGTAAAAACACGGCCAGTGTACATGCACTGCTAGGTGGGCACAAGGTTTTTTTGGAAAGTTTCCAACAACCTTACGACTTCCCAACCTGCCCAAGCAGGGACATACACACAATGACAACAGTACATGAGAACATCGCTGTAAGTCTACGTCTGCCCATGCTTTGCTATGATAATAATAATAATCTAATAGTTGTTACAAGATTCAATAAATTGACAAGATTCCGTCTTTACAAACTGAGTGGACATTGCAAGACAGAAATGGGCTAGTCTAAATCATGGAGAAAGTCACCCTCATCCCTTTTATTCTTCATCCTAATCTAAATCGTTAATAATAATAATATAATAACAATAAAAGTAGTAATAATAATAAGAGTAGTTATTTTAATAATCATAATAATAATAATAGTAATAATAATAATAATAATAATAATAATAATAATAATAATAATAATAATAACGGCCCTCTTGTAGGAAAAAAAATCACCATGCAAAATGATTATAATCTGAACATTGTGGAATTACTTACGATCACAGATTTTACGAGCATAAACCTTCAACTATTCAGTTCAGATACATGTATATGGGAGGCAGTCCCACCCAACAGTGTACCGAGGCTAGAGCTGGGCAATGAGTCGCTTCAGCAAAATCCGGATAATATTGTAGTGAACCTCTTCGGCTAATAAAATGATATGAACCGCTTCGGCAAATGGGTTAGCATCACTTCAACAAAAGGGTGCACCCACTTCGGCAAACGGGTTTGGAAAGAGAGTTGAGAGTCTGAATTCGGATAATGTTTCATTGAGAATTATCCGGTTATCCTTACGTATTATCCGGATTTTGCCCACCTCTAACCGAGGCCCTTGACATGTCTGTCTGGCAGGACAACTACAACAAACCGCTGACCCTGTGGCGGTGACACTTTGACCCACATGCATAATAAAACTTTGAAAAGGAGGAGGAAAATTCTTTAAAGACGGACACATTCCGTAACATCACTCTTTCGTCTCAGTCGACGTCAGAACAGACAGGCTAGAAACTAGAAACTAAACACATCTAAGGAAGGGTATCACGCTCACGCTGTATCTATACGGGGGAATACTAGCCAGAAAAAGAAGTTTTAAAAGAGATAGGAACAATAGTAGACAGTTCTATTGGGAATATGAACAAGAGGAAGCAGTTCTATTGGGGATAGGAGCGAGAGGGAAAATAGGACTCAACAGGAGCAAGAGTAAGCAGTTCAAAAAGAGATAGGAACAAGGGTAGGCGGTTCCCAAACCATTGATCGCAACCCTCAACTAAATAGATGTCTGAGGCACGTTACCATTTGAGCGGGTTGAGTAAAAACACACGCCAAATCAAATTAATCCTACTACAAATTAGCCTGTTTTTCACTTTTTTAAAATAATGTGCTCGATTTGTTTTTAACTTGATTTTCTTTAATAAAAATGAAGTTTTTGAACGACTTGGGTTTTTCACTTCATTGATTTCAATGGGATACATGTATTATATATACATGCAATGTTGTAAGAAAAGAGCTAATACACAGATTTTTTTTCTAAAGATGGACTTTAATTTCACTTGACCATAATTCAGGCAAAATTTCCTAGTTACTGTACCAGAGAGTCAAGACAAACGCCCAATTTACATTTCTGTATAGAAAAGCATTCGACCAAAATATGATTGAGTTCAAGGTCACGAGCAAA